TCCCAGCACTTGGGAGGCAGAGGCAGGCGGATTTCTGAGTTCGAGGCCAGCCTGGTCTACAGAGTGAGTTCCAGGACAGCCCGGGGTATAAAAGAGAAACCCTGTCTCGAAAAACAAAACAAAAAAAACAAAAAAAAAGAAAAGAAAGAAAGAAAGAAAGAAAGAAAGAAAGAAAGAAAGAAAGAAAGAGAGAAAGAGAGAAAGAGAGAAAGAAAGAAAGAAAATGTCTGCAGAAGGCACACAGGCAACAGGTTGAGGGTATGAACACGGAGTGAGAGTAGAGGTCTGCCCAAGGTTTCGGTAGGAAAGGGGGACTAGAGGTGTGAGCTGCCACCTATGACACTCCTCTGTAGGATTGGAAACCCATCTTTAGGAGTCACAATGTTCACAGGTGTAGCCACCTGCTACCCTTAGTTCAGCTGTCTCCTCTAGAGCCTGACATCCTGGCCAGTTCTATACCTAGCCAGATACTCCTTTCTACCTGAGCAAGTAGACAAACTCCTGACCTGAAATACTCCTGCTCCAGCAGTATTGGGGCTGGGAGGCAGTCAACCACATTGTACTTGCCATGACTGTGCTCCCGAAATAATTGAAGTACTGATAACAAACACGTTAGGCCACTCTTCCAGTACACAGGCTCCATTACCTGTGTGTCCTTCCTAGAAACACTGGACAAGTACCATTAGGGTCCCAATCAAAGGAAGAGCAGGCATGGCCCAGGGGACCCACAGACCCCACCCTCCATCCTAGGGCCCAAGGCTTCTCCTCCCCCAGATCTTCTGGCCTTGGGCACATGCAATGATAGAGAAGTGAAAGGAGCTGGCCCACCAGGAAAAAGAGGAAGGAGAGGGGACTGACTGGGACAAAGAAGGACTATGGTATCTTGAAGGAGCAGCAGAGCATCTTGGGAGAGCCCAGGTCTCTCCAGAGGGCTGGCTCCTGCCCACGACTCAAGCCTCGCCTTCCTCCTACCCTCTGTGTCGAGCTTGCTGGGCCTAGGTGGAACCTATTCTGATACCTCCCCAAGGTACCTTCTCTCCCTGCCCTGGGAGAGGTTGAGAGAGCTTGTCTTTCCCATCTGTGCAATGGGATTGCTCAAACCTTCTGAGCTCTTATACGGGATCCCTACCCAGTAGAAGGGTAGCAATGCAAACAGCCCCCAAAACTTCTCTCCCTTACCTCCTAGGCTGCTAAGCCTTAGGTCTAAATCTAGCTGCAGAGTAGCATAGGAACTCCCCATAGGATAGAGGCTAAGTTCAATGCCTCTCTCTCTGAATCTGTCAGCCTTGGTAATAGAGAAGAGACTCTGTCCTAAGAGGCCACCGTGGACAACAGGAAGAAGGGATGGTCCAGGTGACCTGCCCTCTGCCTCCTGACAATCCTTCTTGCCCTTCTTTAGTCACCAACTTATATCTGACCGACCTCAGGGGCCTTTGTGCTTGCTTACCTTCCCCCAGCTTGGCCTCATCATTTGATACCTCCCTCTCCAAAGGGACTTTAGCATCATCTCTAGCCCACCTGGGTGTTGTTCTTTCGATGTTTGTTTTTTTAAGCCAGGGTCTCACAGGGCCCAGGCTAGCCTCCAACTCTGCAAATAGCCAAGGCAGGTCTTGAACTTCTGATTCCTCCTGCCTCCACCTCCCGATTCCTCCACCACCACCCACTTCTTTGGTGTGCTGTTTATAGAACTAGGACTCCATCAGCAGCAGGTGTATTTACATGCTTTGTGTCTGTCTGTCCTAGGTCTTGTGACCTAACCCTCTAGAACAGATAAGATCTCATAAAATGCTATGACGCGCACACATTTCCAGCACAATGCAACCGAGCTGAACAAGGACTGAGGGGTCTGTGCCCCAGACCCCACTACCCTCTCCTCGCTACGGAGCTAAGAGGAGTTGCCCTTCCTTCCGCAAGGCCAGGAAAGCAGAGGCAGAGCATGGGCTGTCCTTTCCGGCTGCCGCCGAGCTCTGGCTGCACCCGGAGCTGCGGGTGTCCACCTCCATACAGGATCCGGTCGTGACCGCTAGGGTCCCCAGAAACTTCTCAAAGGTTGTCTTGCGGCTGTACCCCAAGTGGCACGGGGACAGAAGGAGATTGTAGGCCCGAGCCCGAAGAAGGAGCAGGATAGGGCCTCCTCGCTAGCTTGGTGGAGCAGGAGATGAGGACTCGGCCGCGCTTACCTGAGAGCTGGGCTGCGCAGGCCGCGGGACTCCGACCCCTCAGAGGTAGCGAGAACCGGGGAGCGTCGCGCAAGAGCCGCAGCTGAGGTTTTATGTGGGTCGGTCGTAAGAGGCCAGACGCCGCCAGCGCGCAGGACTCAACGGGACCCGCCGACTTCCCTGGTCCTCCCCTGGCAGCCGCGACTTGCAGGCGCCTTGGCTAGTGTTTTTCGTCTAAGCAAAACTGTGAAAACAGTCACAACCCCTGTTTGTGGCACTCATCCCCGCCCCCCTGCCTCCAGCAGCCTATCGTAACGGGATCCCACCCACAGGGGTGGAACAGACCAATAAAATTCCTCAGGGGGTAAGGCGGCCCGCGGAGCTCTTAAAGGGACTGCAGTCGAATCGAAGCAAAGCGTGGGTGACAGAAACTTCAAACGGGGGAATTTTTTTCTGCACAGCTCACCCCTAAAGCGTTTCGGGAAGCGCACCGAGCACTCTCTGTCTTTGCCCCTCATCTTCCTGCGGTCAGCTCTGGTCCTCCGACCGGGTCGCCCTATTTCTTTGAGGGTGGAGCCTAAGGGACTGGCACCCCATAATAGTGACCTCTGGTCACCTGGACCGGGAAGGAGGGAAGGGAGGGCATCCCTTCCTCGGACGCTGTCTGCTTACCCACTTCAAAGGAATCTGGTGTTTACAGGGCTCCAGTCCCGTCTCAGTCATCCTGAAGACTGGGTGCTATTAGTCGCGTTTTTCAGAAGAAACCTGACATTTCTTGAAGGGGTTAAGGGAATGAGTCCAAAGTCATCGGGATAAGAAGTGGCCAGACCAGATCTCCTGCTTAAGCAGGTGCCTTTCAGAGGGACAGTCTTCCCTGACTGTCGCCTTCCCACCCACCCACCCCTCAGGCGGGCGCCTCTGTGGTGTGCGACGCCTCCAGGGCAACTTGGAGGCCTCCTTTCTGGTCACCTGCTTACCTGTGAACCTTTGACCGGCCATAGGAACTTCCCTATAGGCTTTGTATATTCAAACTTGTGGTTGGACCTTTCTCTCTGCATGCATCCTCAGGCCTGGCTTCTCAGATTATCTCTTCAGAGAGAGCTTCTTGGTGTCTCTCTCAAGAGATGGTGTTGACATGCCTGTCCCTTCTCAGGCATGGGGGTGGGGGGACAGTATGTCTCAGCAACACCTTAAGAGGTGACTCAGTGCTGGCTAAAGGTATAGGCATCTGTTTATTATAGGATTCCAGGATTGCCCTGTCCTGGGCACAGTGGGACTGGAATGAGCCTGGTCCTCTTTGTGATTGGTACATGAGACTTAGCTTCCCTGAGACTTCCAGGTTGGGCCCATTTGTCAATTTCTGAGACTCTTAGTCTCAGAAGCTGGCTGTGCCTGCCTGCCTACAAGGTCTGTAACAGCCACAGTGAAAAAAACACCAAGAGATCCCAACTTCCTGCCAAGAGAATACAATGCCCTGCTTAGGAATAATGGCAAAAGCATGTCCTCGGCTCTCCTTGACCTCCAGGGGTCAGAAAGGCCACGGGAATTGAACTCAGGGCTTCTAAAGGCAGTGCATGCTCAGAACCACTAAGCTTTTTCTCCAGTACCTGTCCCCAAGCCCCACTATCAATCACAAGGGCCTAGGGACTAAGCAAACAGGCTGTGGTGGGATGACATGCTTGGAATACCAGTGCCCTAGAGGCTGAGACAGGAACATCATCTCAAGTTTGAGGCTAACCAGGGCTATGTCTCAGAAAAACAGTAACAGTATGCTACTCTGCATTTCACACTCTGGACTTTGGGGCTCCAAGTGTAGGTGTCTGGGAGAGCTTATGGCATTTGTTGAATAATGGAGGTCATCAAATGCCTCTTTCCCTCTGGCAGCAGAGGCAATGGCTCCTCTATCCCTCCATTGTGGTGTCCTCTGCACACAGGACAGTGTGGCGTCTAGGGAGGCACATGAATGGGAATCTGTCAGGTAGTGTTCCGCCTTGCACCAGTGCCGGGTGTGGACAGCTGTGCCAGTCTTGAGAACCTAAAGCATGTTGGGACACTGGGACCCTCCCTATGTCCATTTCACTCGCTGTTCTGACCTTTAAAAATTACAAACCACACATACCTCTTTCTATCCCACTACAGTAAAGGGATTACCCACCTGCAGGGTCCTTCCAGGCCTGTGGTGATTCCACCCCTCTCTGTTGTCACACGGTCTGGCAGGGCCCAGCGTACTTGGACTCTTCACAGAATGTGACTCTAGTGTATCTTGTCCATGACACCCTGCTGGTGTAAGCATGGAGTGGCAGGCCAGAATGAGAGATTCTATAAAGGAGGAAGATAAGTTGTTGTTTTTGTTTGTTTGTTTGTCTGTTTTTGAAGATTTGGGGGCTTGTCATATCATTGGAGCTTGTAGGGGCCTAGGGGCTTATGGTAGACATAATCGCCTTTTCAAAGAACGTATCCTATTATGGTGGCATAATGTGCCTTTTATTCTTTTATTTATTTATTTTTGAGTCTCTGGCATATAGATGCAGTACCTTCTTGCATCTGAATGCTGCTCTGGGTAGCACAGTGGCGTCCAACTTTGAGGGGGAGCTCCAGCAGGAAAGGGGCTGTGGATTCCGGCCTCAGAAGCCATACTACTAGCCTATCTCCCGAAGACATCCTTTAGCACCTAGGGGTATCTCGTGTACTATAAGGCCTGCAGATTCCACCTTCTGAGCTTCCTTCCTGATTCTCTCTCTGCCCTATTCTAGGTTCTGTATAGAATTATTCCAGTTGTACATAAAGCAGAAGTCCAATCCTGCCCTGTGGCTGAGAACCAGATGCCTAGGACTATAGGAACAGTAGCTGCCCTCTCACTGGAAGCATCCAGCCTGTCTCTGCCCACCTCACCAGGTGGCAGTTACGGGTTCATCCTACACCTTGATCCCACAAAACCCTCAGGTGACCTCATGTTAGGACAGAGCTCCAATTGCTAGACAGACTGCTAATCTACAATCTGAGTCTGGGCATTACAGGCTGCGAACCAAGGGAGTGGTAGTCTCTACCCTCCAGCCTGCACTTTTCTACATCATGCACCGCGTCCTTTCCACCTGGAACATCCTTCTCCTCATACCTTTAGTCAGGAAGAAAAGTTTCCGTTGCATCAGGTGGCCATACCGACACCGAGGTCACACGCTAGAAGGCTGGATTGGTCCTCAGAGCCACCAGTGACCCAAAGTCCCGCTTTGTCGCCTTAGCGTGATAACCTCTGAAGGGTTAATTAAGCCTAGTTGTACAGGAGGCGTGGGCTCAGGGTTTTGAAAGCTGTGGGTGGGTTTCCAGGGAGCAGGGCGGGGCTTCATGGTGTGGGCGTGCCCAAACATTCCAGCCCTCCTTCCGCCCTAGACGTGGTGACGTCGGGTTCCTCCTGGCGCTTCCCGGGCAAGGGCGGGTCACGTGATATAGTTTTCGCGCGAAAACCGGTGGCAGCTGGTGCGGTGGAGCTAGCGCAGGCATGGCGGTGAGGAACGGGCTGATCCCGGGCGGGCGGTATTCAGCGGTCTCGGATTGCCTGGCCGGTATCTACCTCCAGTGGCAGGCCTGAGTGCGGGGCTACCTGTGCCAGTCTGGGACGGATCGTCTCTGCTCCCCTCATGTGTCCTTAGGCCCCGGGTCTCCACGCACATTTGGTGGTGAGGTTGCAGGAAATGGAACCTAGAATCTCGCGCATGTAGGGAAAGCAGGCTACCATGTAGCTGCATGCACCCCTACTCTCTTGAGTGTCTTATAGCTGGGCGGTGGAGGCGTATGCCTTTAATCCCAGCACTAGAGAGCTAGAGGCAGGCGGATTTTTGAGTTCTACAGTGTGAGTTCCAGGACAGCCAGACTACACAGAGAAACCCTGTCTCGAAAAGAAAGAAATAGAAAGGGTCTCATTAAGTAACCCAGGCTGGTCTTGAACTGGCTCTGTAGTGCGGGTTAGCCTTGAACTTGGCGATCCTCAGGCTTTAGCCTCTAGGTATTCTGGCTTACATGCCTATGACATCAGGCCTGGCCTTCCTACTCTTACTATTAGCGTTCTCGTGACTCATTAAAGGTCTGTTCTTTCCACCATTCAGTTCTAGAATAGTGTTCCTTCATGCCTCTTTATCTTCACCTCTTGTTCAGCACCCAGCATATTGTGGGATTTGGGTGAGTGGGATGTGGAAGTAGATTATAAACAGATTATAAAAAACTACTTCGTCCCTGGGTTTTTCATAAGAGAGGCACGGAGTGATCTGAGGGTCTTCTCTGTCCTTGAGAACAATTCCTAATGTACAGGAGACAGACTGTGGGAAGGCCCTGTGTTAACAAGGAGGCTGTCAGCCTGTGTCCCTCCAGTGTCTGACTCTTCTCTCTTGCAGGAATCTTCTGAGTCCTTCTCGGCCGCATCTAGCCCTGCCCCTCAGCGGCGGCGGATCAGCGATCCTCTCACCTCCAGCCCAGGCCGCAGCTCCAGACGTGCTGATGCCCTTACCTCCAGCCCTGGCAGAGACCTCCCTCCATTTGAGGATGAGTCCGAGGGGCTGCTGGGCACGGAGGGGCCCATGGAAGAAGAAGAGGATGGAGAGGAACTCATTGGCGATGGCATGGAGAGGTATTTTCAGTCTAGGCTGTGGTTAGGTGGCCTGGCCTTAGGGACCCATGAGTGTATGAACCAACTCAGTTTTGCCTTTGAATGTGGCTTTGTTGGGGGGGGGGTCATGTTCATCAGCCACTGTGAAGATGCTTTAGCTCACTGTATACAGTTCAGACTAGATGTTAAGGCCCCAGCTCAGGAGAAGGGGGACCCATAAAGTCTGATCTGAAGAGCCCTAAAGGGTGGTGCCAACTCAGAAAGATGATTCAATCAGCAAACTTGCACCCAGCCTGCATCAGGCTCTGGATCACAAGTGTTCAGGTTTGTAAGCAGCAAAACAGAAGGTGACTGAGGCTGTTAGGAAACAGTGTAAGCTTTGCCAGTAGGCCGGTAGATCTCTAATTCAGCCTTACCAGCAATTACAGCTGGGATGTGGTACCAGTTATGTGACCACTTAGGAGCCTTGTGGCACCTTTTGTCGGTTTCCATAGGGGATATCTGAGGGGTATGAGCCATCATGGGGACTGTCATGGACTTTTCTGCACCATTTGGTTCTTTAAACACTGCCAGGCTAGGTATGAAGAGACTAGGTCTGTAGTGTGTGTCCATGTACAGAAAGCGCTGATACAGATCACCCTGGGCTCAGCATAAGACCTTCCCTGCAGAGCTGCTCACAGGGGCCTCCTGTGCCACCTCCTCTCTTACTCTTGTGTTTGTACCTCTTTATGTTTGGTTGTTTTTGTTGTTGTTTTTCAAGACAAGGTTTCACTGCGCGTCTCTGACTGTTCAGGGAACTTACCACCACTGCCTGGCTTTTATAACCGCTTCTTTAAAGTGAGAGACACTTTGGAGATGTCTGAGGACAATCTGACTTAGGGTTTGTGTGGAAAGAGGCTAATTTCTATATTAAAGAGTACAGCGCAGGGACGGTCTGTGCAAACTTTCTGAGTGCCATTTTTATCACCCACTGTGGTCTCTTCTGCCTGTTGATCCCAGTGCTAATCATATTCCCAGAACTGGAATCAAGGTGTTCACTCTGCGGCATTCTCAAAAGTTCAGGTTTTGCCGGGCAGTGGTTATGGATTTCTGAGTTTGAGGCCAGCCTGGTCTACTGTGTGAGTTCCAGGACAGCCAGGACTACACAGAGAAACCCTGTCTCAAAAAACAACAACAAAAAAAAGTTCAGGTTTTCTTTTTGTTTGTTTTATTTTGTTTCTTTTGTTTGTTTGTTTGTTTAAATGTATTGAGTGTTTTACCACACGCATGCCTATGCCTGCATAGACCAGAAGAGAGTGTCAGACCCCAGGAAACTGGAGTTAACATGGTTGTGAGCTATCATGGGTGGGAGAGCAGCCAGTCATTTTTTTAAATGTCTTTTTTGTTGTTGTTGTTGTTGTTGTTTTGTTTGTTTTTCGTTTTTTTCGAGACAGGGTTTCTCTGTGTAGCCCTGGCTGTCCTGGAACTCACTCTGTAGACCAGGCTGGCCTTGAACTCAGAAATCCGCCTGTCTCTGCCTCCCAAGTGCTAGGATTAAAGGCGTGCGCCACCACGGCTCGGCTTTTTTAAATGCCTTAATTTTTGTTTTAATGCTTCATGACACCGCTCATTGTGTGTTTGTGTGTGGGTGCATGTGCCATGGCACTCGTGAGCAGGTCAGAGGATGGCTTGCTGGAGTTGAAGTTTGATGAAACTCAGATTATGTGTTTTTTTTTTGTTCTGTTGTAGACTAGCTAGAATCTGAGTGTGCTTCAGGTGACTGAGATCCTTTAAGGGTCAGAACAGACTTTTCTCAGAAACTGTTTTATTCTGTATAGAACCAGTCTGCACTTCTGCCTGCTTTGCCTTTGATGTTATGAAACTGTTTGTTTTCAGAGGATAGTTTGAGAACATTGATAAGAAGACCGGGCAGCTTTGCCAGTCACCCTGAAGAAGGGAGAACTCTGGGGGTCTGTTTCCCTGGCAGCTGCCCGCTCCTGTGGGTAAGCCATGTGGCACTGAGGAAAGAGCCTACAGCCTATTGTGTTTGTCCCTTAGTCCTGATGATAAAATCACGTTATCCCTCAAAGATGAGATGGCACTGCTTTGAGGTGACTCTGGGACTCATCGTAGGGAAGCTGGACCTGGCTCTCTGTGCTTCCTTTCCAGGACCTAATGAGTGGTCACCTGCAATGAGGCTGCTCAGACAATTGAGCCAGTGGGTGTGAGCTCTTCAGGCAGCCAGTCTGGCTGGGTTGTGTTCAGTTGGGGTGAAGGCATAGATAGGGAGGGTGTAATCCCTGGACACACTGGGATCAGCTCTCTGACCTTTTTGGTGTCAAGATCTTGGCTTCCTCTAATTCTGTTTGATTTTCTTCTTATATTTTAAAAAATTATTTATAGGGTCTGGAGAGATGGCTCAGTGGTTAAGAGCGCTGACTGCTCTTCCAGAGGTCCTGAGTTCAAATCCCATCAACCACATGGTGGCTCACAGCTATCCGTAATGAGATTGGATGCCCTATTCTGGTGTGTCCGAAGACAGCGACAGTGTACTTATAAATAAAATAAATAAATAAATCTTTTAAAAAAATTATTTATGTGCATTGGTGGTTTGCCTGCACTTACATCTGTGTGCGGGTATCAGGTTCCCTGGAACTGGAGTTACACAGTTGTGAGCTACTGGGAATTGAACCCAGGTCTTCCTGAAGAGCAGCCATCACTCTTCACTGAGCCGTGTCTCCAG